ATCTTGAGTTTTGAGATGAAAACTGCCTGGTTCATTGTATTACACACATTCAATTAAAAATATAAAGTGTTCCTCAAAACAAAAAGCAATCACTTAAAATTAAGTTCTCTTTTGAAAAAAGCCATTAAAAACATTATTGGTTTATTAACAATCAACATTTCTTTCCTAAATATGATGTTTATGATCCTCTAAATCATGTCTCATTTGCAAATTTTGTTTTACAACAAAAATACTAGTTGCATAAACAGAGTTTTGAACCAAGTTATTGATCAAAAGCACCCTAGGTTACATATGGCAAAGATTACAGTATCAGCAACACTGTCAAAACCAAGTGCAGAATGCAAATGCTGCTTATTCACAACTTCCTTGAATAACGATAAAGATGTCATTTTTAAATAAATAATAAGTTAACCTTACCAAATTGGAAGGGACAGACACCTTTGGAAATAATTTTTTGAGAACGTCTTTAGCTTCCAATTCAACAGCTTCCACATGTTGTTGTCCTTCCTAAAGAGGAAAATGAACTAAATCAAACAAGAATATAAAATAAAATTTTAAAAAGCTATAGTATTTTAAGCTCAAGGGAGGAAAAGTCACAATATTTAAAAAATTCAGCTTAATAATGACCAACTTTTAAATTTCCCATTTTAATATGTCAAAATGCTTCCGTAAGCAAGTCTGCAAAATCTCTAAAGCATCCTAAATAATGAATAATGTCTTTCATTAATCAAACCAATGCAGTACCTGACAATATGGACATTTTCCTTGCCATTAGGAATCAAGTGGTTTGCTCCCAGGAACAACTCAAAAAACAAAAACCAAAACAAACAAAAAATATATACTTTCTACAGCTAAAACTTTAAACTACTATACAAAAAACAACACTTCCTACAGCTATAACAAACTACATACAAAAAATGTACGCACCTGGGCAAAGTAAGTGAGGCTTACTGGCTAATAAACCTATACCAAAAAATGTATTACAGATGGCCAATAATGCCATGGGATTAAAATGGCAATCTTCATATTTCCAGCTTCAAGATCAGTTGAAGCTACTAAGGCTAAACAAAGCAAAAGAAAAAGACCATCAAAATCTGATGGGTGGTACATATGAGAAAAAAAGGAAAAGAAAAGAGAAAAAACTGATGGCATATTACTTCATCAATGTCGAGCATCAAGACAACTAATACTGACACTTGTGTATGGACTCTGCCAGCTATAAATTGAAAGATAAGTATTATAAATACATGTATAAATTTGGTGATTTTGAAACCAAGTCTAATGAATCAATTACTAACTCAAAACCATGGTTTGTCAAAATTAGGATAATGACTTGATTACACACAAAATAAGACTCTAATATTCAAACCAACTTTACAAGATTAAAAAAAAACTATAAAAAAGTACACCTCAACCAAGCCAAGAACATCATCTCTCAACAATACTTTGCAAAGTTCAAAAGAAGGCAAGCAAGCTGGCAGGATCTCAACCCTATCTTGCTCTCATCACTTAAATGTGATCCTTGAAACCTATTACAGATTTAGGATATACTTTAAGAAAATCTAGTTACATGAAAAATTAAGATACACAGTGCAAAGCTAGACATTAATCATAATCTGTACACACAAAAAGATTTTATTCAGGATTAGTGGCCGGACTTCAAAAGTAAATGTTTTAAATATTATTTTCAATTCAATAAAGTCTACTGTTTTTCAGGAATATACACACCTAACTGCATAAAACAAGGTATACTCATCTGAGAAAATAATTAACTGCTAATTTATAGATAATTAAAAGGTCATTTTTATCATCTGACCACAGAAGTGGTAGAGCAAATGCCAAAGAAAATCAGTTAGGCAGGGAGACACTATGGAAAAGGTTTTTCGAAAACTTCCCAAGGGAAAAACAATTAACTGAAAGAAATAAGTGCTAACTTCTAAGCAAGAGGCACAAAGATGGGAAGTTACTTTTATTCTGTACCAACAATTTTAGCTAAAAAGTTGTCACTTGGCATAGCAATTTCGTTGTGGACAGCAATTTCCATTACAACTTAACACCTGGAAAAGAGCTAATACTGAAAACTGCATTATAATTTCTTTACTGTCTTTATCTAAGTGTAATGTCATATATATGGAGTTATCTTTCATGTGATCCTGTCATTTGGAGTCTCTCCTCATAAATATTTACAGATAAAGGTTATCCTGGAAAAACAATATATACTCCTCTGTTACATTTTAGATTAAGTGTATTGTTTCTTATCTATCATCTAAAACACTAAAGGTATTTTTATATAGTTCCTTCTCCTTAGAGATCTAGAACTGTGGTTCTAGATCAATCAACATCACGTTGCACCTATGCTGAGGACTGCCTAAATTCCACTAAAATAGAGAAAGATTGTAAATTCTATTCTCTACATATAGACCATTAGCTATTCAAGAAGCCATCGTGCATTTGGTAATGAGTTTTGATATATGAATAAATTCTTATACTCATCACTAAGCACATGATGAAATGTGGATAAGTTCCAGCTTTCTTTTGGAATCATAATATGATGCAAAAATACCTTTGAAAGTAGCATGTACGTTCTTTCAGGAAGGGCATAATATTAAGAGATTGGCACTTCCTTGATACCCAATCTCATTAACAAAATTAAAGCTAAAAGGTAGCTCTTAACAGTGAAAAACATTGTTGTAGAAACCACCAGACACTATACCAGAACGCCCACTGCTAACAGAACTGAACCCAACTACTCACAATGAAACAATTAACATCCTGCCTGGCCTAGGATTTTTCTATTCCCTGGCCTAGATTTCTCTGATCCCAGTATCTACCAGCTGTCTCAAATTTAAGACTCAGTGAAAATTAGGACCAGGTGAATAGGTATGTAAGTAAATACAAATCTACTACATATAACTACAAAGGTACACTTGAAAAAAAAAAATCTAAACTCTATACTACTAAAAAGATCTTTCAAATATCACTAAAACTTGCATCTAAAATTCAACAAATTACCCTGGCTAACAAAATACTTACAGAATGTTGAACTTAACCACATGTGCAAAATTCAATAATCTTGTTCCACATTTACTGATAAGAATTTTCAAAATACTTAGCTGAACTAGCAAATTCACTTCTCTCAATCTTTAAAAATATTATGTCAACTACAAATCATTAGAAATCTTCAAAGCCATAGAATAACTTGAACTTAGGGAGAATACCCTTTATTCTCCCTAAGGGAAATGTGTTTCAGGAGTACTTCACATACTCTGGTCAAGAGATTTCTCCCTCATTCAATATTCCATACTAAAGAACACAACATGCATCATTACTGTCCAATCACCTCAAAACCGTAAACTTTAATTTTAGTTCCACCTCTTCTAAGGAATCATCCCCAATAACACATGCAGAATTGATCCCTTCCCTGTACTTCTTAAGACTTTATTCATTTCCACCTTGAGCCAGGTGTGCCCCAACGGACCTAAGAGATAAGAGAGTTCACTGTGCATTGCAGGCACATCCTGGGTATTCAAATGGGTCTGTTAATTCAGTTAGATTTTCTGGTTCAGGGTTTTCACTGAAGTTCTCTTAACCAATTCAAGAGGCACACTCTGTCTGGTAAGAGCTTACATGGGTCACAGGTCTCCTGAGACTCTTCACCTTAAAGCAGTAATCACCAAAGCTCAAACAATCAGGTAATCACAACAGACCAGCACGCCCAAAATTAAACCTTCAAGTAGATGAAAAAGCAGAGATGAAGAAGATGATAAATGTGGATGATAAGGAGATTTTATATTTAAATTGCAGTAAAATTAATGCTTTAGTCTGATTTAAAGACAAGCTGCAGATTTGCTCTGTTTAGTGGATCATTTCTATAAGTTGCATTACAACCTTGGAAGTCTTGTTCACTTTGTCCTGCAGCATTTTTTCAGTTGATGCCAATGCTTCCATTGCTTCCCAGTTTTTCTCCCGAAGGTCCTAATCATTTTTAGAAAGAATGATTTCAGTATATCCATTATTGAAAGAGTTTTGCTTTTTACTTCATCAGTATTTTGCACTGCATTTAAATGCTGGTTACTGCAAAATTACTTCAATGGGAAAATATGTATATTAGCAAAAAAATAAAAAGCAATGTTTATAAGTTTGAATGAGAAAATAAAGATGCCCACTTTCCTGTTTTAGGATACACACCAAATGCCAGTTTTAAAGTAATTACTGTGGACATGTGACAAAGAAGAAAGCATTCAAAAATAACTGCACAAACCAAAATTACAAATACGATTTCAGGTACACTGAATATTAGAGGATTAAGGACAGAGCAAATACACAAGTCTTGAAAGCTTTTGATCTTTAAACAAGGCCCAGTGTCACTCATAGGACTTTCCCTGCAGCATAACACCTTTTTCTCTAAATATGTTTTTACTGAATTAACACATTTCAAATCTACCCAGGAATCAAATAGTAACTCACTGTAGTTCGTATCTTTCTTGGCATGGTCAAATGTATATGCCATAAAGCAACCTAACATGCACTGCATGAGCTACTTGACCAAGGCTGAGTATGGGGAGGCTGGAAAGCGATGAACAAAATTGTCTTGGAAGAGAAACTGAGGTCACTGGAAACTGAGCTCTGAATAATCTATTTTTACAGCATTTCATTAGCAAATACAAATCAGGACAATTTACCGTATCTTCAGATTTAGAAACCTAAACAGATTTAAAAAATATATAAAAAGCCAATAATCACCATTTATTGAATTCTTACTTTATGTGCCCAACACTGTGCTTGGAGCTTCAAAATAAATTTTCATTAATCCTAATAACCACCCTAAAAGGTATTTATTTCCATTTTATAGATGGGGAAATAGCTTAGTCAGATTAAGAAGTCTGGCCAAGTGTATACAGCAAATGAAGTGGAACAACTAAAATGGATTGACGCCGCAATCTGCGGGCCTCCAGAGTCCTGGCTCCTTTCACACGCTTCAATACCTCCAGTGCTGTCGCAGCCGCTGCATTAGACTGGCATTACTATGTCCTCCTTATCTCAGAATTCCGATAATAAAACACAGTTAAGATGTTAGCAGTATATTGGCAAATTCACCTCAGGTTCTGTGGCCAAGCAATGCTGTTAGTACTGTTACACAAACACACAAAAACAATTCACATACCTAATTTTGACAAACTTGGGGATGCAGGTACATGTCAACTTGTTAAATTAACAAATTAATGCAAACTTTTGAAAAATTTAACTTTTATTAGAAAACACATACAAATTACTATCAATATTTCCCCCTTAGATTTCAGTAACTTTTCAGTTCTTAGCAAACATACTTTGGTATGCAAAAATTCCTTCTCTAGCAAGAATGTTTGGATTCAAGTTACAGGTGTCACCTGCTTATCAGAGATTTAAGAAATGCATCTTAATTCACTATTTGTCTATTCAGCAAAAGTAATAGGATTTATATTTTTTAGGACATTATCTCTTCAGATTTTAGCATAAATGTATTCAGGTTCTGAGGCCTCTAACATGCTTAATTACCAAAATCTGAACCACTTCCCAGTTAAAAAATGGAGGTTCCAGCAGGCTTTGAAAGACATTTAACTACTGAAAATACTGCTTTTGAAAACTAGCATTATTTTAGTTTACAAAAAGGCTAGCCTAATCAAAATAAGAGGAAATACCTTTGATTTTAAAATACTGAAATGAAAGAATAATTTTTCTAAATAAAAGCTCAATAGAAAGTCAACTGTATTTTTAAAAACTGCAATAGTTATAGCTTCAATATTTAAATCAGAAATACACAAATTAGCCTTTCCTATTAAAAAAAAAACTACTCTCTAATAAAATGATTATCCCAATAATCCCCCAAAAAAGCTACATACAAAATGGTACTTTCTCACAAAGATTAAGAAGAAACCTAAAGTAGGTTTTTTAAAATTCTGAACCATTATATTTCAGTGAAGCAAAAAAAAGAAAAACTTTATTCTGAGAGAGATCTGCTTACATTGTTTTTCTTCCTCTGGTGTTCAACAGCATCCTTCAAAGACTCTAACTCATTCTGGAGACCAATTATTTCTTTTTCTCTTTCTGAAATTCTAAACCAGAACCATATATATATGAATACACATAGCAATATTCTAGGCAAACAGTGAATATAGTACTTGTTACTACAAAATAAAAACAGTAAATAAATAATGCTTTGAAAATGCATTGACTTAGGCAAATGCTTTAAGCTCAGCTATTACCATAGAAAGCCTATCCCAAGTTCATATTTTCAAAAATGATTTTTAAAATAAATTTTTACAATATGACATGCTGACATTTGTGTTAAAGAGAAATCATTCTTAAAGAAGAAGTTCATGAACACAGGAACTGCTGTAGTTGTGATTATTTCTATTTTTAGCTAGGGCAGTAAAATAGCTATTTTCAGAAAAGTGAAAACTGATGTAGAAACACTCCCTTAAATGTACTTTCCTACCAGAACATCATGAAATCAGTTAAGACTTTCTTTAAATGGCTAATCCACAACAAAAAATATACTAATATGAGGTAGGTGTTCTCTTGTCATTTTTGTAACAGTTTCAGGATTCATATTTTTATGCATCTAGTACCTAGCCATTTCCCAGTATTGCAGAAAGCAATGCCAAAGATTCATAATTCAATTCCATTACAGTTGAAAGTGGCTTGGGTAGAAAATTAAATTAGAAACTCTTCTTAAGAGTAAGGCGCTATATTAAGGGGTTGGCAAATTAGGGCTGTGGGTCCAACCCACACATAAGCCATAAGTTGATTTTACGTTTTTAAAGTTTTGCTAAAATATATACATATATGAAACAGAGATCTCTATGGCCCACAAAGCCTAAAATATTCATTATCTGGCCATTTATTAAGTTTGCTGACTCTTTCTCTTTAGTCAAACTCAAGACTCAATTTACCAGTAAATAATTCTGAACTAGTCAGTCAAACTCAAGACTCAATTTACCAGTAAATAATTCTGAACTAGTAAACCACCAATTTTGTAAAACAAGTCACGAGGCATAAAAAAGTCAAGATCATTTAATATACTTAATGTGGCTGACATTTAAAATATTGAAACATTTAACATAGTATCTGTAATGACCTTAAATGCAACCTAGAGACAAATATAGGCCAAAAATAAAAATGTTTAAGTTAAAAAAAAATAAAACACCTTAAAAGACAGCAACTGTAAGGATTATGAGATCTTTTATATGCAGAAGCTAAACCAAAATTTGCATCATTCAATTCCACAGTGGTATTAGGATAACTGATATAATTTTAACCAATAGTAAAGACTTCAAAGTACAGTTTGAGTAAACACCTCTCTGAATGCTGAAAAATAAAAATCTCCCTCAACAAAATATTCAAATAAATTCAAATACGGTAAGAAGGTACGTTAGCTCAGCTAAAGGCATAGCTAACCAGACCTGCAGTTAAAGAAATCCAAATAGAACTGTAAAAATTAGGTGACCATTTGCAATTACTTTAAGTAGCTTATCTGAGAACCATTTAGCACATAAAAACAGTTATCATTTCCCAAGCTGTGAATCAAAATTATTACTCACACTTTTAATAGTTCTTCATGAGGGGGAAAAGAAGATGCCTATTAAAAGAGTTAAATGTTTTTAAAGTTAAACTTTCAAAACAAAGTTTTCTAGAAGATTTCAAAATAGCAAAACCCCTCAGATATAAATTGACAACACTAAAAGTAACAATACCATCTTATCCTTTCTGCCCATCACCAAGTAATTTTAAAAAAAGCATGCACAATTTATAAAATGTACTGCATGCTAAATCAAATCTTCATTGTCACTATGTATTTAAATTCTTTAAGTATTTATTAATTTCCTACTATGTGCAAAGCACTGAGTTATTGGCATCTTGAATTTTCATACTGTACAATTTATATTTGACTACATTAAGTTTCCAAAAGTGGAAAAAAAAAAAAAAAGCCATAAATGAAGTCCAAAGCAAAAACTAGGAAAGTTTATTTGATGTAACAAGAAGTTAATTTTACATAATACGTAAGGTAACAAAGTCCTTCACATTATTTATTCCTTGATGACTGTGGGTGAAATTGTAATATTTCCAGAATTATCTAGCCTGACTTTAGTACATCTGCATATCAATAGGTGTTCAGAGGTGGGAAGAAGTATGGCTTTAGTGCATTTGCATCATTCCTCAGGGGTGGAGAGAAGTTCAACCCCATATCAATGGGTAATTACCTGGGCAACAGAGGGCTTATCTGTACCTGAGAGGTGATGGAGAGGGCTGGTTTTGGCTTCTGCCGGAGCAAGAGAGAGAAACAGCCCTAGACTGCAGTTTGTAAGCAATAAACGGATTTTAAACTTCATTTCTCCCTTTGACTGATTTCAGTTTTTAGAGGTACTTTGCCCCGGGATTTCTTCTCCCTGGCCTTAAAACGACCATAGTCTCCCAAACTAAACTACCATAAGCTTCTTGTCACAAGAAGTTATTCTTTTGCTCCTCAAAATACTTTCTAGTTTACCCATATGTACTTTCATAAAATAAATTAATGTAAAAGATATTTTGGTAACAACTTTAAAAAGAAACACATATTTTATTTTGCCAAACAGAATTATACCTTAAAGAAGTATTTTAAATAATAGTAAACTAGTATTTAGTATGCATTCCTCAGTTTCTTTCTAATTGCTTATGTTTTGTTTGGGGATTGAGGAGGTAGGGCATATACATATGTTTAAAATGACCACTATAGGATTTTAACTAAGAAAAGCACTCTAGAGAATCTGAAAATATACACAGATACATAACAGAGCTAGAATATAAATACTAGCATTATTTATGTACACTTTAAAATTGTAGATTATTTTATCTTCGCTATGGCATAACATTTTTTTAAGGAAATTTGATAAACAGATAAAACAATATATACTTATTCTGAAAGAAAAGACAAAAAAATGGAACAATTCCTATGGACAGTCACAGATTATATGACTTTTTAACTACATAAATAAAAGGCAAACCATCTAATAGCACGTACCTGTTGATAGTTCTGTTGCTTTAGCTGTTCGATTTGGAATTTAAACAATTTGTTTTCATCTTTTACTTCCTATTTAAGCAAAAATTAAACATGAATACCTGGACAGAGATTTTTATTTTCCAAACAAACTTTTGTAACATATAATAGCCATGAAAGTTCTAAAACAGTAATGATTTAAAAAGTAATAAGCCCTATACTGCAATGCATTATGGAATTGTAATAATTATTCTGTACTAGCTTTGGGAGTGGGTATATCTCAATGGAAGAAAACAGGATCCAGAAACAGACCCAAATACCTGTAAGAATTTAGTACAGAGTGACCTTTCAAACAGGGAGGTCAAGTTCTTCTAGTGGAATTCTGGGCTCAGCATTTCTTTGTTGTCAGGATCTGTCCTACGCACTGCAGGAAGTTTAGCAGGATCCAAGGCCACCAACTCACAGGATGAAGCATCCCAACCCCCACCACCAGCTGGAACAACCAGTCTCCTAATACCGCTAAACATCCTCTACAGGCATAAGCACTACGGTAAAACAGGTAAAACACTGACGGGTTATTTAGTAAGGGAGCTAACCTTTTCTTTAAAGGTTGAAATGTTATTCTCATAACTTACTCTAATAAATAATATGAATAAAACATCTAAACAAAAAATTTATGAACATATAAGAAAATGTGAAAACATTTTTATCATCATAGAGTGAGAGATAACTTTCACTCCAAAACTAAAAGTCAAGAAATTATATTGAGTACATAAAAATTTTGAACTTCCAAAATATGGGAAAAAACACAAATGAAGAAAAAAGGAAAACTTAACAAACCACTTCATATACAACAAAACACTAATTTTTCTTCTTATGTAAAAGGGATCTCAGTTTTAAAAAGTAGATCCAGAGGGAAAAATGCAGGAAAAATTAAAGGCCAATTCATACAGAAATAAAGAGTAGAAACTTGTGTCACAATCAAATGCAGATTAAACAATACAGCCACCTTTCAAACTTAATATTGAATATTTTTATCTTTGTCATTGTTGGAGAGGATGAAAAAGAAATGGCCCTCTACTGGCAGGAGTGCTAATTTAAACACTTTTGAAGGGCCATTAACATTATTTAACAAAATTTAAAATGAGTCAAATCGGGAGGGACCAGGGAATGTGATGGAACCAAGCCTTGGAGCATAAAGTATGCGCAAGACTATTCTGAGTCAATGCAGGGAATCTAAAACTTGCTATCACTTAAATCAGTGTTTTGTAAGTACTTTCAATATTAACTACCTGAAGTTGAGGAAGATACTGATTTTCTATTTAACTATCTCTTTCAAGAAAAAACAATCTGCATAAACCTTTGACCCAAAATTTCACTTGTAGGAATTTCAAATACAGATACAGTAGCAAAGGTATTGAAAATGTGTATGCAAGGATATTTACTGAAGAATTGGTGTTAATAGGGAGTACAACCCTAAATAATATGGTATCCTAAACTAGGATTGGTTATATAAATGATGATACAACCATACAACAAAATACCATAAAGCCATTAAAAGTTAAAAAGATAGGAATGTGTTTACCTTAAAAACATTAATTTGGTGACAAGCAAAACACAAAAGTATGTATGGTTAAATAGAGTATTTTAAAAAACAAGTATATATACATACATTGTATGCATGGGCACTCTCTCAAAAGATATACAAGTAACTGATAGTTACCGGAGGAATGAAACCCAGTAACTGGGTGGAAGACAGAGTCATTCTGTATTTTATTTTCTTGTGTAGTCGTCAAAATTGTTTTAAAACATGCAAAAACAATAATTCACACAATAATGTTAAGTAATCATATTCACCTGTAATAGCTTTGTTTTGCTAGAAAGATCACTCTCCCTCTCTTTTAGAATAGTTTCGACTCTCTTCATTTCATTTTCCTTTTCTTTCAACCTAGAAATTTTACAAACACCTTACATTGAATTATATACATAAAAAAAGGACTAGAATCCAATATCATCCCTACAGAAAAAAAGACAGTAGAACTAATGCTTATCAGGTTCTCGCTTAATTACAGCAACTCACAAATCTGTTTTTCCAGAATCATTCAACTCAAAGGCAACTACATCCTAAACTGTTACAGTTTGTATTTCATACTTAACATTTCTTAATCAAGTACGGCTTTATCTAGGAGCAAAATGTAAAATAAAAGCCACAATTAGTTGACTTTAGAACTTAGATATGTCCAACACCTTGTGCATAAGATGCCAGATGTAATTTAATCTCGTTCTCCCTTACCAAACATAGATGTAAGTCTTACTATTTCTAGCCCGAGTGAATCCAATTCTTTGTCATCCTAAGCAACAGACCTCTCACAAAACACTTAACACTATTAAAATCATCTGTTTATTCATTTCCTCAGAGCAGGAACCCATCTTAGCCATTTCAGTATTTATAGTGCCAAAGGACACATAATAGACTCTCAAATATTTGCTGAATTGAACATTATTTTTATTCTACCTTAATCTAGAAGAATTTCAAAATGTTTAAGAAAAATGACAGAAAAGCATACATAAAGAGTGGGATTTTAAAAAAGGAAAGAAAGAGCAAACCTTAAATACATACTGCTAACAGAAAGAAACCAAGCTGAAAATGGTACATACTGAATGATTCCAACTATATGACATTCTGGAAAAGACAAAATTATGGAAACAATAAAAAGATGTTGCTTACCAGGAACTGGGGTAGGAATGTGGGGTTGGAGGGAGAAAGGGATGAGCAGATGAAGCACAGATTTTTTTTTAGGACAGTGTAACTATTTTTTATGATACTGAAATGATGGGTATCTGTCATTATTAGTCAAAACCGACAGAATGTACAACATCAAGAGTGAACTCTAATGGAAACTATGGACTCTAGTTAATAACGATATGCTGATATTAATTCACCAATTTTAACAAATGTACCACACTAATGCAAGATGTAAAAAAGAGAAATGGGGGAGAGAGTTATATCAGAACTCTCTCTACTGCTCCCTCCTACCCCAAAACATAATTATTAATTTGAAAATACAAAAAAAAGGTCAAAATAAATCTAAAATTATATACTTTAATGATATATATGCCTGCTACAAATATGACACAAATGTGTCTCTAACCTTTCCATTAGCAAATCAGATAAAATCCCCTTGACAAAAACAATTTTACAAATGACCTATCTTAAAGCCAAGAATAGAGACATCTTCCTTGGTCTTCATAAAGTCAATGGCCTAATAAATACCCTCAACTATCTTACTTTTAAAGACAGTTGCAGAGGCCCACTTCTTAAAGATTAATGAAGACTGATGGCATCACATCAAAGCAAAATCTATGAAGTCCACATACCCTTCCCACCAATGAAAACTGATTTAGTTTGAGAGATTTCTTAGGACAGAAAAGTTTCTAGAATGAACAGCTACAAAAACTGGTACCTCTTATTGCTGATCAGATTTAACTTTTTACTATTTGGCATAGCATAACTGAACTGACAGGAGATACCATTTTCTCCAATAAGCAAGTTACTTTTACAGAAAGATTCAAATTTCATTACAAAGATTATGGCTAGGATTATCTTTTTGATGATTCAGAGATGTTACTCTTCCAAATACTAATATGATTTTAATTTAAAACAAACTATCTCTCTTTATAATAATTGCATACTTTGTATTTTTTAAAAAACTTAACTGAGTCTATATATTAGCAAGAAGAAAAATTTGAGAAATGTGTTTGAAGGGTCTGGAAAGGTGTGGAAAAAATGAAAGTTCCTGTGGCCAGGATTCTCACCTGGCCCTGGTTGGCTCACTCAATACACACATGTGGGCAATATGTTGCTATTGACTCTATATAAAGAGCTCCTCCCAGTGCTCTGGGTGACATGGTGGCACAGCTGCAAGGCTGCAGGAGAGCAGAGCAGAGACTGGAGTGGTGGCAGCACCAAGGACAGAGGCCCAGAGGGCAGCTGTGCGGGCAGAGCAGTCCAGAGGCAGAGACTGGTTTGCTGCATGCTCTGAGTGGATGGGATTTTAATGATTGATCTGCCACCGTGGAAATAAAGTTGGGTATAACCCTTTCACCCCCAAGAAGATTCTACTGTCATTTCTTTGGTCATGTTGAATCAACAGTGAACTTGCCCCGGGCTGAAACCCACTGGCAAGACAAAAGGATAAAATCTCCAAGCATCCGAAAGCACTTAATGCACCTGTTTTACTATACCAAACAGATATCTGGCATACTTGCCTCTGGACTATAATTCCTACTGAACAAGGAAGTTCAGGATTTAGAAGAAACTCATCCTAATATTCAAGCACGCTGTGGAAAACAGTAAGACGTTCCTCTTTAAAATGCTGGCAAAAAGCATACTTACACAGCCTCAAGTTCTTCAAATTGTGATGCAGAACATGCCTAAGAAACAAATTCACATTTTTAATTCTACCATCAAATAGATCAGGTACTACATTATATATATATGTATATAATCATTCACCAGTAAAAAACACACTCTGCCTTTTTTGGTAAAAACACTTGTGATTACATTTAGGGCCCATCCAGATAATCCAGGACAGGATATCATCCCTATCTCAAGATCCTTACTTTAATCCCATCTGTGAAAGACTGCTTATCATTTAAGGTGACATTCACTGGTTCTAGGGATTAGGACATGGACATTTCGGGGCAAGGGTATTATTCAGCCATTACAAGGGAGAGAGTGTTA